TGCAGTTATTTCAAAATTTTTTGCAGTAACTTTCTGTGTTTGCAGTTATTTGAAAATTAAAAAAAAAAAAAAAAAACCGGAAAGGAAAAGCTAGTCATCACCCCCTACTGCAGTCCTCCAGGCATGTATCCTTCTATACCTTCTCCATACTCACACAAACGTATATGAATTTTAATACACTTAAAATGGGATTTCTTGGCCAGGCACAGTGGCTCAAGCCTGTAATCCCAGCACTTTGGGAGGCCGAGGCGGGTGGATCACAAGGTCAAGAGATCGAGACCATCCTGGTCAACAAGGTAAAACCCCCGTCTCTACTAAAATATATGAAAATTAGCTGGGCACGGTGGCACGTGCCTGTAATCCCAGCTACTCAGGAGGCTGAGGCAGGAGAATTGCCTGAACCCAGGAGGCGGAGGTTGTGGTGAGCCGAGATTACACCATTGCACTCCAGCCTGGGTAACAAGAGCGAAACTCCGTCTCAAAAAAAAAAAGGGGATTTCTTTGTTTTATTAAAATGGAGTTATTCTCTATGCATTTGTGCAGCTTGATTTCTCTGTCTCTCTCTTTTGTTTAAATCTCACTGTCATCCAGGCTGGAGTGCAGTGGTGTGATCCCCACTCATTGCAACCTCCACCTCCCAGGCTCAAGCAATTCTCCCACCTCAGTCTCCCAAGTAGCTAGGACTACAGGCATGGACCACCATGCCTGGCTATTTTTTGTATTTTTAGTACACATGGGGTTTCACCATGTTGGCCATGCTGGTCTTGAACTCCTGGCATCAAGCAATCTGCCCATCTTGACCTTCCAAAGTGCTGGGATTACAGGCCCGAGCCACTGCACCCAGCCATTTTTTAAATTGCATTTTAGGTTTTGGAGTACATAGGCAGAACATGCAAGATAGTTGCATAGGTACACACGTGGCAGTGTGATTTGCTGACTTCCTCCCCTTCACCCACATCTGGCATTTCTCCCCATGCTATCCCTCCCCAGCTCCCCAACCCACTGTCCCTCCCTATTCCTTCCAATAGACCCCAGTGTGTAGTGTTCCCCTCCCTGTGTCCACGTGTTCTCATTGTTCATCACCCACCTATGAGTGAGAACATGCGGTATTTCATTTTCTGTTCTTGTGTCAGTTTGCTGAGAATGATGTTCTCCAGATTAATCCATGTCCCTACAAAGGACACAAACTCATCGTTTTTGATGGCTGCATAATATTCCATGGTGTATATGTGCCACATTTTCCCAGTCCAGTCTATCATCAATGGGCATTTGGGTTGGTTCCAGGTCTTTGCTGTTGTAAACAGTGCTGCAATGAACATTCGTGTGCATGTGTCCTTACAGTAGAACGATTTATAGTCCTTTGGATATATACCCAGTAATGGGATTGCTGGGTCAAATGGAATTTCTATTTCTAGGTCCTTGAGGAATCACCACACTGTCTTCCACAATGGTTGAACTAATTTACACTCCCACCAGCAATGTAAAAGTGTTCCTATTACTCCACATCCTCTCCAGCATCTGTTGTCTCCAGATTTTTTAATGATCTCCATTCTAACTGGCGTGAGATGGTATCTCAATGTAGTTTTGATTTTCATTTCTCCAATGACCAGTGATGATGAGCATTTTTTCATATATTTGTTGGCCTCATGTATGTCTTCTTTTGTAAAGTGTCTGTTCATATACTTTGCCCATTTTTGAATGGACATGTTTGTCTTTTTCTTGTAAATCTGTTTAGTTATTTGTAAATTCTGGATATCAGCCCCTTGTCAGATGGGTAAACTGCAAAAATTTTTTCCCATTCTGTTGGTTTCTGATTCACTCTAATGACTGTTTCTTTTGCCGTGCAGAAGCTGTGGAGTTTGATTAGGTCCCATTTGTCTATTTTTGCTTTTGTTGCCAATGCTTTTGGTGTTTTGGTCATGAAGTCCTTGTCTACTCCTATGTCCTGAATGATTTTGCCTAGATTTTCTTCTAGGGTTTTTTATGGTGCCAGGTCTTATGTTTAAGTCTTTAATCTATCTGGAGTTAATTTTAGTGTAGGGTGTCAGGAAGGGGTCCAGTTTCTGCTTTCTGCACATGGCTAGCCAGTTTTCCCAACACCATTTATTAAAGGAATTGAATCTTTTTAAACTTTGAGAATTGTTTTATAGTTCAGTATATAATATAGTTTTGTTAATGTTCTAAATGTACTTGAAAAGAATGTGTTGTTACTAGAGTATTCTATTAATGTTAAATAAGTTAAGCTGGTTGATATTATTGTTCAAGAATTTACATGCTTAAAGTTTTGAAGAGTAGCTATCCAACTCTTCAAGCTTTCTGAAATTGCTGTAATATGGCAGTAAAGAGGATGTGCTTATCTGTTGACCATACTTCAATTTGATGGGGTCTAGTCCTACTTCAGAAATTAGAATAAACTATTTCTAAATTTTAACAACTTTAGGGTTTTAAAAAATAAACATGAAGTCGGAATACATCAGCTAATGGTCATCATTTTAAGGAAATTTGGGAAATTTCTAAAGAATCAGAATCGGCAACAAGCCAGGGCTTATAGTAACACAGTTCCTGGCTGTTCAGTGTGAAGCAGTGTATCTTGTACTCAAAAGGCAGCCTTTATAAGTGGATAGCAACCCTAGCTTTCTGCCAAGCTAACAGCTCTATTCTTCTGCCCTCCCTATCTATTCTCTGTTCTTTAAATTTTTTTAAGAGAGGTAGAGTCTTTCTCTGTTGCCCAGTCTGGAGGGCAGTGGTGCTATCATGGCTCATTGCAGCTTTGAACTCCTGGTTCAAATGATCCTCCCACTTCAGCCCCACAAGTGGCTGGGACTACAGGTGTCAGCCATTGCACCTGTTCTTTAAATTCTTTAATAATGAGTAAACCATTTTTAATTTTTCATAGAGATGGCATTGGGGCAGGGGCATGGTCTCCCTATGTTACCCAGGCAAGTCTTGAACTCCTGGCCTCAAGCAATGCTCCCACCTCAGCCTACCAACGTGATGGGATTACAGGCACGAGCTACTCACTGCACCTGGCCTTCAAATTCTTCAATAATGAGTAAACCGCTCCTTATTTTCTTTCTTTATTACTCACTGTTTCTGCTTACACATGTCTTCTTTTATTATTATTATTATTAATTATGCTTTAAGTTCTGGGATACATGTGCAGAACCTGCAGGCTTGTTACACAGGTATACATGTGCCATGGTGGTTTGCTGCACTCATAAACCCATCATCTACATTAGATATTTCTCCTAATGCTATCCCTCCGCTAGCCCCCCCCTCCCCTGACAAGTGCCAGTGTGTAAGGTTCCCCTCCCTGTGTTCATATGTTCTTATTTTTCAGCTCCCACTTACGAGTGAGAACATGCAGTGTTTGGTTTTCAGTTTCTGTGTTAGTTTGCTGTGAATGATGGTTTCCAGCTTCTTCCATGTCCCTACAAAGGACATGAACTCATCCTTTTTTATGGCTGCATAGTATTCCATGGTGTATATTTGCAACATTTTCTTTATCCAGTCTACCATTAATGGACATTGAGTTGGTTCCATGTATTTGCTATTGTGAATATTGCTGCAATAAACATATATGTGCATATGACTTTATAGTAGAATGATTTATAATCCTTTGGGTGTGTACCCAGTAATGGTATTGCTGTGTCAAGTGGTATTTCTGGTTCTAGATCCTTGAGCAATAACCACACTGTCTTCCACAGTGGTGGAAGTGTAAAAGTGTTTCTATTTCTCCACATCCTCTCCAGCATCTGTTGTTTACTGATTTTTCAATGATCACCATTCTAACTGGTGTGAGACGGTACCACATTGTGGTTCTGATTTGCATTTCTCTAATGACCAGTGATGATGAGCTTATTTTCATATGTTTTTGGCCATAAAAAATATCTTCTTTTGAGAGGTGTCTGTTTATATCCTTCACCCACTTTTTGATGGGGCTGTGGGAGAAAATTTTTGCAAGCTATCCATCTGACAAAGGGCTAATACCCAGAATCTACAAGAAATTTAAATAAACTTACAAGAAAAAAAAAAGTCTTCTATTTTTCTACTTTCTTCTTTCTACTTTCTCATGGAGCATCACTTTACTTCTGGGCCATTGTATCATTAGTATTGCTCTCTGTCCCTCTCATTCAGACACTTGCAAAGAGGTTCTGTGACTGGCTTGTTTCCCACTAAAGAAGTCAGTTCATTCCTCTTGCATAGATGTCTCATACTTGGTCATGATATATGTCACTAGCTTTAAAAAATAATTTCATTTATTAGCCATTAATTATCCTTTTTTGTGGTTAAGTATTATTAAATACCTACTGTAAGTATGAAATTTCATCAGAATACTAGCAGAAAAGTGATAAGCTTTCATAGTTTAATGTATTTTAATTTTCCTTAATCTATAAAAAGATTATAAATAATTGCCTCAAAACAAGGATTAAGAGGTTTTACAATGCAAATTTAAAATACAAATTGAGAATATTGGACATTACCAATAAAAACCTGTTGAAATAATTCTTTAGTAAAAATATCACTTAACTGTGTCATTTTTACTTGCTTTTCAGAATAAATCTCAAGATTATTTAGAGGAATACAAAATCATCCAATACAGCAAAATTCACAATGTCAGGTAATTCAAACAAAGATTACCAGGGATACAGTAAAGCCAGAAGACATGAACCATCATGAAAATAATCAGCCTCAACAGACTTTTTGTGTAGGAATTAACAAGCTGACTCTAAAATTCACGTGGAAATGTCAAGGACCTACAATGGCCAAAATTATTCTCAAATAGAAGAAAAACTTGAAGGTCTAACAGTACCAGATTTCAATAATTATTATAAAGCTACAGTAATCAGCATGCTACTGGTATAAATATAGACAATTAGCGGAACAGAATAGAATGCTCTAGAAATACATTCACAAGCCTATGGATCTAATTTTTATAAAGATACAAAAAATAAAGATAAAAAAACTAATTTTTATAAAGATACAAAAGATAGTGTTTCTAGCAAGCCTCCAGCATGCTTGGTTCTGCAGTGATCCTATGCATTCCTTCAATGCTTGCTAGAACAGTTTTGAAATTGATGCCTTGCCCTGCTCCATCCAGAGCAAGGTTATAGAAATTTCAGACAATGAAAAAGAAGAAGAAGAAGAAAAGATAATGTTTCAACAAATAGTACTGAAAGAAAGAGATGTCCATATTTTTAAAATGAATTTGCATCCGTGCTTCTCATCATATCTAAGAATTCACTTGGAGCAAATCACAAACCTAAACTATAAAACTTTATAAAAATAAGAGAAAATCTTTTTGATCTTGATTAGGCTAAAAATTATTAGATATCATGCCAAAAGAATAATCTATAAAAGAGCAAATGGATAAAGTGTACTTCATAAAAATAAAAAACCTTCTGCTCCCCAAACAATACTGTTAAAAAAATGAAAAGACAACACAGGCTGGAAGAAAACACTTATAAAATAGACAAATGGGACGTAATCAAACTCCACAGCTTCTGCACAGCAAAAGAAACAGTCGTTAGAGTGAATCAGCAACCAACAAAATGGGAAAAAATTTTTGCAATCTACCCATCTGACAAGGAACTAATATCCAGAATCTACAAAAAACTAAAACATATCTACAAGAAAAAAACAAGCCCATTCAAAAGTAGGCAAAAAATATGAACAGACACTTTACAAAAGAAGACATACGTGAGGCCAACACACATATGAAAAAATGCTCATCATCACTAGCACTGGTCATTAGAGAAATGCAAATCAAAACTACATGAGATACCATCTCACACCAGTTAGAATGGAAATCATTAAAAAATCTGGAGACAACAGATGCTGGAGAAGATGTGGAGAAATAGGAATGCTTTTACACTGTTGGTGGAAGTGTAAATTTGTTCAACCATTGTGGAAGATGGTGCGGTGATTCCTCAAGGACCTAGAAACAGAAATTCCATTTGACCCAGCAATCCCATTACTGGGTATATATCCAAAGGATTATAAATCGTTCTACTATAAGGACACATGCACACGAATGTTCGTTGCAGCACTGTTTACAATAGCAAAGACTTGGAACCAACTCAAATGCCCATCAATGATAGACTGGACAACGAAATTGTGGCACATATACACCATGGAATATTATGCAGTAATCAAAAATGATGAGTTCGTGTCCTTTGTAGGGACATGGATGAACCTGGAAACCATCATTCTCAGCAAACTGACACAAGAACAGAAAATCAAACACCACATGTTCTCACTCATAGATGGGTGTTGAACAATGAGAACACATGGACACAGGGAGGGGAGTATCACACACTGGGGTCTGTGGGGGGGATGGGGAGCGACAGTGTGGGGTGGGGAGTTGAGGAGAGATAGCATGGGGAGAAATGCCAGATATAGGTGATGGGGAGGAAGGCAGCAAATCACACTGCCATGTGTGTACCTATGCAACAATCTTGCATGTTCTTCATGTGTACCTCAAAACCTAAAATGCAATTAAAAAAAGAAAACACTTATAAAATACATGTCTGATAAAAGAATTGTATTCAGAATATATTTTTAAATGCACAAAAATTAAATAATAAAGACCCAATTTTTTTTAAATGGCAAAGATTTGAACAGATTTTTCACCAAAGAAGATATATGGATGAGAAATAAGCACAAGAAAAGATACTCAACATCATTAGTAATGACAGAAATGCAAATATGTAGCACAAGATGCCACTATACACCTATTAGAATGTCTAAAATTAAAAATACTGATCATACCAAGTGTTGTCAAGCATGTGGAGCAACTGGAACTCTGACACTATCGGTAGGAGTATAATATGCATACAAACTGCCTTGGAAAACAGTTCTAATAGTTTCTTTAGTTAAGCATACTCTTATGATCCAGCAGTTCTGCTTCTAGGTATTTACTTAAAAAAGAAGAAAGTGTATATATTAGCCAGGGTTCTTCAGAGAAACAGAAAGAATGGAATATGTATAGATATATAAGAGGGATTTCTTTTTGGAAGTGGGTCACATGATTATGAAGGTTGAGAAAACCCACAATCTGCTATCTGTAAGCAGGAAAAACAAGGGAAGCTGTTGGAGTAATTCATTCTAAGCCTGAAGACCTGAGAACCAGAGAAACCCATGGTGTAACTCTCAGTCCACGGTTAAAAAAACTGAGAATGTAGTAGCAGGGATTGGGGACCACTGGTGTATATAAGTCCTGGAGTCCAAAGGCCCAAGAACCTGTACCTCTAATATCCAAGGGGAGAAGATAGATGTCCAAGCTCAAAGTGAGAGAAAATTCTCCACATGTTTGTTCTACCCATATCCTCAATGAACTGGATGATGTATGCCCACGATGGTGACATCATTTTCTTTATTTGGTGTACTGATTCAAATGCTAGTCTCTTCCAGAAATACTATCATGGACATACCCAGAATGTTTTGTCAGTGATCTGGACATCCCTTAACCCAGTCAAGTTGACACATAAAATTAACTATCACAGTATATTTCTATATGAACACTTGTACACAATTATTTATAGCACTTTTATTTATCATATCCAAAATCCAATTGTCTATAAATAGACAAATAAATAAATTTAACTGTAGAAATCCATTCAGTGGAATACTATTCAGCAATATAAAAAATATATACTATTGATTTGCTACAACAGGAATGAATCTCAAAATGATTATGCTCATCAAGATAACTCAGGCTGAAGTGTACATACTGTTTGATTCATTTGTATGCAATTATTGAAAATGAAAATTAATGGAAATAATTTAAAGGAAAGAAATTCTGCAATAAGAAAACAAATAGTACAATTAAAAAATAGTGAAAGGACCTGGATAGACATGTCTCAAGAGAAGATATACAAATGGCCAACAGGTAAATGAAGAAATGCTCAAAATCATGAATCATCAGGAAAATGCAAATTAAAACCACAATGAGATATCAACTCGCATCTATTAGCTGTTACCAAAAGGACAAAGACAGCAAGTATTGGCAAGGAAGTAGAGAAAAGAGAATCCTTGTACTTGATGGAAATGTAAATTAGTATAGCAATTATGAAAAACAGTATGAGGGATCCTCAAAAAGTTAAAAATAGAACTACTATATGATTCAGGAATTCCACTATGAGTACTAAGTATATATTCAAAAGATGTGAAATCAATATACTGAAGGGATATCTGGATTCTCATGTTTACTATAGCATTATTCAAAATAGCCAAGATATGAAATCAATCTAGGTGTCCATCAATGAATGAGGGCATAAAGAGAAGGTAGCATATATACACACTGGAATTTTACCATTCTGTCATTTGCAACAACATGGATGATAAGCCAGGCACAGAAAGACATGTATTGCATGGTTTCATTTATATGTGGAATCTAAAAAAGTTGAATTCATGGAAATAGAGAGTAGAATGGTGGTTACCAGAGTCTGGGAGATGGGAGGATTATGGAGGTATGTTACTATTATTAATAATAATACTTAAAAATTACTGAAAAATCTTAAGTATCCTCACCACTAAAAATCATATCTGTGATCATGCATATGTTAATTAACTTGATTTAGTCATCCTACAGTGTGTGCATATATCAAAACATGTTGTACTCCAAAAATATATAGAATGTTTATATGTGAATTTAACATTTTAAAATAAAGAAAATTAGTGGAAATGCAAATTAAAGGAGAGCAGAACAATGGTTATTTAGGAAATGAGCCCAGGGGATAAGGGGGAGCATTAGGAAGAAGGGGTTACAAAGGGACATAAGGAAACTTTTGAAAGCGATACCTATTTTCATTACATTAATTGTGGTTATGTTTCCTATGTGTATAAATACATCAAAACATATACATTTTAATATGTGTCATTCATTATATGTAGGTATCTCCAATAAAGCTATTAAAACTTAAAAACAATTAAATTGTAGGTAATAGATAAACTTGGTTCTCAGATTATCTGTCTGGAAGTAGATATGAAATACCAGGCCTATTACATAACACTGTTGCCCAGTTAAAGAGGGGACTCTTTAACTGTAGCCCAAACTCTGAGTCTTCTGAAGAGCCATTGTAAGACCTGATTCCATTAGGTGATTGGCCCTAATAATTGAAATGTGAAATAAATATTATAGAAATGCAGTTCTCAGAGAAAGGTTCCTAATAGGTCTATTGGATTTAGACTGGAAGTGGGAAATTATTTTAAAGTATTTTAAGCAAATAACAGGAATATGTAAGTTCTGTTTTCAAAATTGAACATAACAGTTCAATTTCCTCATTAGAAAAATGTTACCTGAAGGAAAACAGAATCAGATTATGAGTCTTGAGTACTTTCTCAAGGAGTTTTGTTATATTCTGCACAATTTTTGTTTATCTTGGAATCAATGGAAAGCTACCATAAGTTTTAACGTACACAGTGACGAAATGAAAACATGAATTCTGGAGTCAAACAATCTTGGTTTGAATTCTAGCTCTGCAATTTTATAGCTTTGGGATTTAGAAGAATTTTCTTACCATGTCTAAACCTTGGGTGTCTCATTTATAAAATTGTTATACTAACATCAACTATTCAGTGTTGATGTGTGGATTTGAAAATGTATGTGAGCCTCTAGCACAGTGTCTGGTGCCAACTAGAGATTGACATGTAATAGTATCATGAGTATTTTAAGCAAAATAATATGGCACTAGTGTATAGCATGGTTTGGGGATGGAATCAGTGAGAGAATAGCAAATTGAGATGCACATAATTAGTGCTAAGAAAATATTGTCAATTGCTTTGCTACTAATAATGAATAGAATAAAATGCTGCTTTTTTCCCCAGGAAGATGAAAGGCCATTTCACTGGTTACCTGCTATTCCCAGTTATAAAGCTATGGTCTCTGGCTTCATGGAAACATTCTCAAACCTCTCCGTGGAACCATTTAGTCCTACCAAGACCCTAGGATATTTGTTCAATTCCTCTTCTCTATAGCAACAGTTCTTAAAGTACTTTTTTAAGCACACAAGTATAACAGACATGAAGCCAAATATGCAGATGAAATTTGACAAATAGGTTTTACTAATGCTCACCCTGCTGTGCATGTCAGAAGGCAATAATTTTAGGCAAACATGACTCAACTCCC